AGGTCAGGTTAGTGGTTTGTGTAGAGAATGGGAGATCCATAGTGAAGGGTCCCAGAACTGTGGATAAATTGCCAGTATTTGAGACAGACAGGTGAAAATCTAGGGGAATGGGAATTGGAGTGAATGATCTGGGGTAAACAGACATAAACATTCAATAGTCAAAGATTTTGACAGAGATAGTGGAGGGTGGTATTAAATAGGTGCTGTAGCCTTTTTAAAAGATGGGTTATCTGGTTTACCACTTGGAGATCTATCCCTTTATAGGGAGGTGGAGCAGTGGGCCTAAAAGTCTATCACTAGTGCCTGTTCAATGACTGCTTCTTTTGGTTATTCTTTTCTGCTGGGTGTTTAAGAACAAGTTAAAGTGAGACCTGTGTTAATCAATATAAACATCTTGCTGTCAAGGTCAGTTAAGTCTCTTTAGGCATTATTTTGGAGCCATGCATACAGCCTCTCAGCTCCTGTCAGTGTCAGCTATTAGGTTGGGTCATGGGCCTTGCTTGACCAAGTTGCTTTTAGTTGAAAATGTGGGAGCTTTTTTTGTCTTGGTGACCCTCTTTTGGCACATGTTACTTTTGTCCTCTGGTGCCCACCAATATCCCTGCCCAGGAGGTTGGGTGACTTATCAAAGATGTAAGGTGTTGTAAAAAATTTCCTTCATACCATAGATCTTTGGTGACCTTGGAGGGCCAGGGCCAAAATATTGGTGGTCTTCTTAGCCCAGTTACCTTCTAGTGTTGGTCTCTTCCCTTTGGTGGTTGAACACCAAGAAGAAAAGTTCAGAGACATCAGTAAGTAGTACAGTAGGAGCAGTGAGCTTAACTATCATAACTTTATCTGGACAGCAATCACCCTGGAATCTAAAATATAGTTAGAAAACTGTTATTTTTATCAATCGTGGTTGTTCTGATAGTAGATTTCCTGTAGAATATTAACAGAAAAAACCTTGAATCAGGAGCCACACATAATAATATTTTAGTGTGACAATCATGATGACATTATTTTTGCAACAAACTTAGATATATATCTTAGTATAAAATAGCCAATGTAAACCAAGACCTGTCATGTAAAGGTGCAAGATCCCAGTGATGAATGTAACTGTACTGTATGCCTAGAATGTACCAATAAACTCAATAAAAAGAAAAAAATAGCCATTGTTAAATGTATCTATTCTCCTCTAAAAACACATAAAAACAAAAAACTGGTAACTCTTATTTAAGTTATTACCTTTTGATAGGATGCCATCTAAGGAAAGTATATGGGGCCTACGAATGTACCTATAATCATGAGTAGGTGGAGCAGAAGAGAAGGGAGAATACCTGTATCAAAATGTTATTGTCATAAACAATATGTCAGAAGACCTGTATAGTCAGAAAACATGAATATAATTTGTAATCATAAAAGTAGCAATGATAATTATCATAATTATATGAAACTTTATAGCCTATAGTGTAATTTGGTATCACAAGGATCTTCCTCAATAACTCCTTGTTTTTCCACAGAAAATATTGTATTTTGAAGATGACCATTATAAACATTTGACAGTAACATATTTAGAACTCAACCCTTTGATGATAACCAATATAAACATTTATGACAACATATTTAGCAATGTTTATTGGGGGTATATCTTCCCATAAGGCCATGAAAATTATTGGGGCTCCCATTAGTGAACAAAGACCAGAATAAAATTTTCTGAGCATCTGCTTCTTTATTCATCAACAGGAGTCTATCCAAACCTAAAAGTACATATTTAATTAACTTAATAATTTTTTATTTAACCTGTAAAACCCGGTTATAGAAATTAACAATTTATTTGTATCTTTTATGTCACTTTGACAAAAAAATATAATTGAACAAACACTTTCAAGCAGCTGGACAGACAATAGACAAACATATAAGGCATTTTATGAAACTAGAATGTACTCAAATATATTTGGGAAATTGAATTATAACATCTCTCTCTCCTTTTTTTTTTTGGTATCAGGGATCGAATTTGGGAACTACTAAGCAAAATCCCCAGCCTGAATTATAATATCTCTTTTAACTGAAACTAGCCAAAACTTTTGCAGGTCAATTAACAGAGATCACTTGTAGAATTAGAATTTTTATATCAAAAGTATATCCCCTTTATAGCCTTTTAAATATATATGTGTGTGTGTGTATATATATATATATATATATATATATCTCGTTTCATCTCATTTACTGAAAACCTTTCATAACAAACTTGGCTTCAGTTATTAAAATTCTAAAGTGTCCTCTTTTTTTATTTTCTTAGTGCTTAAGTAAGTACAGAAAGAGAAGTTAACTCTATAATTACAATGTAAGAATTTGTAATGTACAAGAAATATTTTAAGCAGTATATATATATATATATATATATATATCTCGTTTCATCTCATTTACTGAAAACCTTTCATAACAAACTTGGCTTCAGTTATTAAAATTCTAAAGTGTCCTCTTTTTTTATTTTCTTAGTGCTTAAGTAAGTACAGAAAGAGAAGTTAACTCTATAATTACAATGTAAGAATTTGTAATGTACAAGAAATATTTTAAGCATACTAATTATACATTAAGTTGGAGATGAAAGGTACATTTGTTAATTAGCCAGAAGAGGTACTGATAACAAAGTTCCTGCCTCGAGGTGGGTGGAGGGTCAAGAACAGATTATTTATGGTGTCCAATGATATCTGAGATACAAGGATAGCCTATTATGTCCTATAGCCCTGGAGTTTTATCTCTGCCTTAAATGAAATGTAGGAAAATGCGTAACCTTGAAATACAAAGACCCATTTACTTTGTGAGTGAAACCAAAAAAAAAAAAAAAAAAAGTACTGTTTTGGAAACAAAGTAACTCCCAGTTGGCTTGCAGATACAGAAGGAAGACAACAACCCAATGAAAGGTAAATTAATTTTTTGTACAAATAAGCAAATTTGAATACCAAAGCTAGAGGAAACTCATACACCTGTTTTACAATAATTTTAAGCAATTAAGTCCAAACAGTAACACATACAAGATAAGAATAAAACAGCAATGTACCAAGAGGGGCCTCATAGGCAGGATGACCTTTTAGAAAGTGGTCTGCCGGATCAAAAGTAGTTATTTCAGAGTCTGAGCTGTCAGGGTTGGGGGAGGGAGTCACTTGGGCAAGGAGAATGGGGGCGTGAAACAGAAGGGGTGGATGACGGAGTTAGGGCTAGAGGTACTTGAGGGGGCCAACAAGTTTGACAGAGGGAGGGGTAAGAAAGAAGGCTTGTAGGTAGGAGATTTCTGACCATTTCCATTGAGTTGACAAAATTGCATAAATTGCTCAGTGTGTTAAAATTGAAAGTGCCATTTTTGGGCCATTGAGATTTATTATCTAATTTGTACTGAGGTCAAACTTGGTTGCAATAAAAAATGAGTCATTTAGGCTTAAAGTCGGGTCCCAACAGTCTAAGGGGACAATGTTGTGCCAGGAGGCAGCCAAGAGGCATTGAGGGAGGGGATTTGGATTGTTGGGTGCCCATGTTAGGGCAGGTAAGGGGGAGTTAGTTCCCTAGGAGGAGGGCAAAAGAGAGGAACATCTTTGTCTCTTGATACTCCCTGAGCCAGATCCCGGAAGGAGAGAACAAGAGGAGTCAGGCCAATGGGGCGTACCCAGGGGCACGGTCCTGGGCCCAGTGGTCCTAGAGGGTCTCTCTGACCAAGCGTTTGGATTTCTGAGTAGTCTCCAGAGGGAGAGATTAAAAATGAGAGAGGACCTGAGTAGAGGGAAGCTAACTACCTACTCACCCTGAAATCAGTGACCTGTGTGGACGTGAGTTGTCAGCAATGGCAAAGGTAGAAAGCCCCAAGGAGGTCCCAGCTGGGCAGATGTGGTCCGGAGAAGGTGGCTGAAAGGCCAATCGACCTGGCCTGCGGGGGGATTGTCACTTAAGGATTGCCTTCCTCCCAGGTCTCAGCGCCAGACATGTTAGGTAAAAAGAGCTGAAAACCAGGACCAGACCAGGACCATCACAAGCCTTTATTATGGGGAGGATCTGCTGGGCTCTCTCTGAACAGAGAGAAAAGCCCTCAATTTAGCTTATTACATTTCAACACCTCTTCAACTTTTACTTCTCCCCCAAAATGAATGAACAATGAATCAAAGTAGAAATCCAAATATGATCTGCCTATTAAACTTCTATATGTATGCTTACACATATAAAAATGCAATAGTTGGAAGATGTCAGACAAGAAAATATCTTTCCTAACTTAAGAAGAGAAATAGTATTTGAAGTATTATAATCTCCTCTGAGTCTTTGTTAACAATGATTTGGAGTATAACTGGAACAGGTTAAAGTGACTACATGAATTTTTGAAATGAATTTCCATCTACTGAACACTAATGAATTACTTAGATACAGTATATCTAAACCAAAATTATCAAATAAAAGAATTTCCTGTGTAAATCCTGTTATGTGTGATTTTAATAGGATTTATCTTCTGATATTGATGATTGCGAAATGAATGTCCAAGATAGTTTAGATAAAGTTAAGCCCTACAGCATTCATTTGTCCATTTGTCCCTATAATTTGGTATCCTGGAATCACTAGCGTGTGAAGTTATTTTTTATTTCCTATCTTTTTTCAAGAATGCTTTTATGAGACATTTTCTTGATCTGTTCCTCCTGTCTGCTGGTCACCTCATTAGAGAGGCACATTTGGGCGTCCTGCATAAAATTTCCACTGCTTTCTCATCCTCCCTAATTTCTTTATTCTCCTTTACTATTTTTCACAGCACTTATCACCATTAGATATATAAGTATTTGATTATTTATTATTGTTCATTTTCTGGCAAGAATTTAAGCTCCTAGAGGACAGATATGTTCACATTTGCATCCCTGTTGCCTAACATAAACATCCAACAAGTATTTGCTTTATCAGTGGAATGGAATAAATGTGAATGGAATCAATGACTCCTTTTTAAAAATGTTTTTACTTTAAAGCCATAAATATTTCAAAAGAGGCTTGAAGTTAAAGTCGACATTTTCCACTCTTCAGTATTTCAAGGAAAAATTAACCTTATAGTATGGAATAAAAAAAATATTCAGCAGAATCACAGATAGAATAATGTCAAGAAAAACTGGTAAATTAAAGTTAGCAGTAGGAGCCTTGTTCGTCCAACCCAAGAGGTCTGAAGAGTAATGGTGACAAGTCTCTCCGTGCCATCCATAATAGCAGTGACACACAAATCCATCCTTCATGTGCATTACAGTCTTCAGTTTACTTTTTTCAGAAATGACAAACCTGAAGCTCTTGTTTGAGGTATATTTTTTACTGCCACTTTCAGGCATATGTAAATAAAAGGGGGATGCAGGTGTTTTTCCAACACATCTTCCATGGTTGCCACATAGACTCTGACTGCAGAGCTTGGCTGCAGATGTCACGTTAACAGCATAGGGACCCAATGCTCTTTGAATAGACTGTTGCACAGATAAGCAGGCCTCCTGTAGGAAAGACAGAAATCTACTTAGAGCACTCTCAAAATGTGACTGTTATTTAAGCAATATTAATGCCTGAAGTTCTATAATGGTAAGGCTAAGGAGGATTTCAGTAGGTTAATCATTTAAATGAGGATAAGCCTTTATTTATTCATAGGTGTGATATGCTATGCCTTAGATTAGAAAAACTATGACTCAACTCAGTTTCTTTTTTTTAATAGTTTTTTAATTTATTTCTTTTTAGTACTGGGGATTGAACTTGGGACCTTGCTCTTGCAAGGCAGATGGTGGAACCACTGAGCTAAATCCCTGGCTTTTTTTTTTTTTTTCTCTTTTTAATTGGAGATTGGACTCAGGACCTTGCACTTTCAAGGTAGGCAGCAGCACCATTGAGCTAAATCCCCAGCCCATTCAACTCAATTTCATATCCTGTCCAGGGAACAGAATACTACATTTTCCACTAGAGACTTATCCCTAACAGACATAGATAGTTCTACTAACACTTTAAATATGATTTTAAATTTTTAATTTTATTTATAAAATACATTCAGCACTGAAACAAAATATATGTTCACATTAGACTGGAATTTTCTAACTGTCAAGTCATGCTATGCTCTTCCTTATCTTTGCAGAAATAATAGCACTTGTAAAGTTGGTAGTTAGTCTTCCCATTCATGTTTTATAACTTCACTAGATATATGTGTGGGTGCATATTTATGATTTTAAACAATATGTAGTATTATTTTATATATTTGTACATATTGTGTGGGCTACATTTTTACTGTAAGTTGCTTTTTTAATACATATCCTTTAAAAATTTTTCAATACTCATACATATTTTATATAACTCATATATAAATAATTTTTCACTTTACTTCATTTTATAATATAAATACACTATACTTTATTTATCAGTCGATCCATAGGCAGTAGAATATAAAAGATTATTATACAAAACCAAATGCCCAGGTCAGTTATATGGTCACAGAGGATCCAATGACTATAAGTAAGTACCTCTTCCTACATGTCAGCCACTGAGTATTGATATAGCCACATGATGGGATTCAACAGTAAGGTACGCTTCTCCTTATTGATGGTCACACTGTGCTACTTGCAAGGCCTAGTTGAAGTAACATCATTAGCTGACTCATAAGAGTCTAGCAAGAATCATGATATATTTTGGCCTTGATCCATATAAAAGGACCATGTTGCAAACAGTATCTTCATTAATAAATTAAGTTTTCCATTAGCATTTCAATCATATTATCAACACTACTGCACAATTAAAAATCAGTTAATTCAGAAGTATGGGTTATTAATGAGAGGAAATAAGGCCTCAGGGCTATGAATCTACCTATTAAAAGTTTGGGAAACTCAAATGAAAAATTATAAGACAGAATAAATTTCTTAGTGTCAGATAATTGAACGAGGCGGCACTTTGGATAATAGCAAGTTCTGCATATCCTGTGAGCAACATCATTTGTTTCAAACACATTGATGCTTCTCACCTTAAATCATACTTAGGAACACATAATTTCTAGTCAGGACAAGACTCCTTGTTTAAGGGATCTAAGAATGTTTCTGAGAAAGAAATATAGGCTAAAATGAAATAAGCAAAAAAGTATATATAAAAGTATATAAAAGAGAGAGAGAACCATTTTTAAAGTACTCCTAACTACAAATTATATTTTAACCAAAATTTAAAGGGGAGGGAAAACACTTGATAAAAACTATGTACATTTTATAATGTGCAATAAAAGTATTTGTTTAAAAATAAAATAAACAAATAATTAAAATAAGAAAGGAAGAATGGAAGGGAAAGAGGGGAAGGAAGGGAGGGCGGGAGGGAGGGAGAGAAAGCTAGGGAAAATAGTAATTAATAGAAATAAGAACACAAGCAAATACACTCACATTCAACTTGGGCATCCCCTGTTCTATCCCGGGAACACTAATTGAACACTTTCTTCACTCAGCTTCAAGAATATCTTCTATATGCCAACTACCTCTCTCAAGTGCTACAGGAACAAAACTCTGGAGTCATCCTTTACTCTTTTCTCCTCTCACATTTAATGCATCAGCAAGTCCTTCTCAGTCTGTCTACAAAATATATTCAGAATTCAGCCTTGCCACTACTCTGTTCATGTGCTACTATTCGGGTTCAGCTCACGACCACTCTCACCTGGATTGTTCCAATAGCTTCCCAACTAGTCTCCCACAATCTTTTCTTATATATATATATATTTCCTAGTTTTGCACAGATTTGGGGGATAGTACAGGGAATCAAACTCACAGCCTTGCACTTGCCAAGCAGGCACTGCACAGCTGAGCTATGTCCCCATCCCATATACAGATTAAAATATTCTCCCAAGTAATAATTTGCTCAAAGAAAAAATTCAAATATAATTTCTTAAAAATTACAAAAATTAGAATAATAAGTATTAAAACTTATGGATACAACCAGAGTAATTAGCGACATTAAATGCTTAGCCATGCACAGCTTCCTTGATCAGGAAATTCAATCACCAGGGAAGAAACAAGGCATTCTGCCATGGCCTTTCACTTGGACTCCCACTCAGCGATCAGCAATGTTCATTGCTGGTGGATGGAGTAATAAGAGGTGCTCTTCCTAATTATACTTTCCTCCATGCTTCCTATTCCTCCACTTCCCTGCATCTTCTGTCACTTTTCTGTTCCTGGAAGCTCTGTCGTGTTTGCCACCTGCTTCCAAGAAGAGCACGGGCCACCAATTTCCTAGAGTCTAGTAAGTGATGTTTCATCCATTATGTAAGACCCTCTTGATCTCTAGTGTATCTACTTTTAACTTCTAATGTTGAACCTTTATCCAAAAGAATGTTCATTCATTTTCTCAAATCATTTATTCTGCACCTTCACGATAAAAACTCAATACACTAGGTAAAGAAAAAAAGTGTCTCAACATCCTGAAGGCCACATATAACAATCCCATAGGTAACATCCCTGTTAATGATGAAAAGCTGAACTCTTTTAAGATCATGAACAAGGTAAGGATATTTGTTTCTATCAACAAGAAACTAAAAGTCCTAGATAAAGCAATTGAACAAGAAAAAAAGACAAAATGAATTTAAATTGAAGACAATAAAGTTATTCCTGTTTATAGATGACACAATGCTATATGTAAAAAAGCATAAAGACCTCACTAATACATAGACACAAAGTCAGTAATAATAAATTCAGAATAGTTGTGGTATATAAAATTACCTTGCAGAAATCAGCTGAGTTTTTAAACACTAATAATGAACTATCCAAAAAGGTAATTGAGAAAAATTGAGAATAGTAGCAGCAAAAAGAATAAAATAACCCAACTGGTGTTGCATCCTTGTAATCCCATCACAGTGGGCAGTTTAGGCAGGAGGACTGCACAGTTGAGGCCAGCCCTGGCTAGATACATTGAGAGTTCAAGGCCATCTTAGAACATAGTAAGAACCTGATTCCAAACAAACAGAAAAGAATGAAATATTTAGGAATACACTTATCCAAGAAGGTAAAATATTTGTGCACTAAATATAAATAGAAAGACTGCTCATTTTCATGAATTAGAAGATGGTATTGTTAAAAATGTGTGTGCTATCTGACTGATCTGTATTGTTAAAAATGTGTGTGCTATCTGAATTGATCTGTAGGTTCCATGCTGTCCTCATTAACCTGACAGCACATAAAATTACAGAATTAGAACAAAAATAACACTAAAATCCATATAAAACCACAGGCCTAGAATAGCCAAAGTGATCTTCAGAAAGAATAAAGCTGGGGGACATATTTCTTGACTGAAAATATTTTTAAAAGTCTATGATACTGTCATAAAGAAGAAATATAGATGAAAGGAACAAAAAGTTTGAAAATAAGCCCACACATATATGGTCAACAAAGTTTTTAACAAGGTGCCAAGAATACTTAATAGAGAAAGGACAAACCCTCAAAATTGAGAAAAGTAATCCAAGTGAAATTAGATCTCCTACAACATACACAAAAAAATCAACTCAAAATGGATTAAAGATATAAGTATCCAAGCCACAAATCACAAAGTCCTAAATAAACAATTATAGGTTTAAATATTCTAGATATCAGTCTTGGCAAATCTTGCTTTTAAATATGACACAAAAGCAGAAAAGAACAAGTAGTATAACAAATTAAAATGCTTCTTCACAGAAAAGGAAAAATAAAACAAAGTGAAAGAAAACAGTAATAGAAAATATTTTCAAAGAATATATCTAGTAAGGGATTAATTTTAAAATATATTAGGAATCTTACAGTAAATCAATTGGAGAAACAAACAAAAATAAACAGGTATAAAAATAAGCTAAGGACTTAAACAAACATTTCCCCAAAGAAGACATATAAACAGCCAACAGATTCACAAAAAGATGTTTACCGTCATTAATTATTGGGGATATGTAAATCAGAACTACAATTTAATTTCACTCACACGAGTTAGGATGGTTAATATTTTTTAAAAGCTAAAGTTAATAAGTGTTGTTAACATAGTAGAAAACTTGGAATCCCTTCACAATGTTTGTTGGAATGTTAAAGTTACAGAAGGTATAGGAAACAATGTGGAAGTTTCTCCAAAAATAAAAGTAGAACTACCATGTAAAGGTACAAGATGGCAATGATGAATGTAACTGTACTGAATACTTTAAAGGTACAAATAAACTCAATGAGAAAAAAACAGAACTATCATATTACCTATACATACGTACATACATATGTACACATATACATACACATGGGTACATACATACTTATGCATATATATCCAAAAGAATTGAAATTATCATCTTGTAGAGGTATCTACCCTTCCATGTTCACTGAAAATTATTTACAGTATCCAAGGTATGGAAACAATCCAAGTGTCTGTGAAAGGATGAATGGATTAAGATAATGTGATATTTATGTACAATAGAATACTACTCAGCCTTAAAAAAGAAGGAAATTTTGCCATTTCTCACAACACAGAGAAATCTAGAGAACATTTTGCTAAGTGAAATAAGGAAGTCACAGAAGAAGTACTGCTTGATTCTACTTACAAGAGAAACATAGAAAGTAAAACTCATAAAAGCAGAGAATTCAATAGTAGTTGTAATCATTGTTAAGGGCTTTAAGTAAGGGAAATGGGGCATTGTTATTCAAAACATCATTTTGTGCTAAATAAGTAAGTGCTAAAGATCTGCTGTATGGCATAGCTGAATCTTTGTACAAAAATATTTTCCTCCCACATGCATATCTTTTATAGGTAAAGAGTAAAATAAAGAATAATTTTTAAAGAATCCACCCTTCTTAATGTAGATGGAATATTTTTTAAATGTTATATTCTTTTTTCTTTGTCACATAAATAATGATTTTTATCTACTAAAATTATTACACATTGCTAGTATAATTTTTAAATAAAGAAGCTAAGGGGCAAGTGAATTAATACGCCTGGAATACACCCTTAGGATATAATAATCAGTTTCTCACTTTGGGCTGCCTGATTGAAGATTCTTCTTTTTCCAACTTTCTTCTAATCACAGCAGCTGATACAAAGTAGATGCTAAACAGTGTTAATCCTTATACTTTCTTAACTCCATGGGTAAAGAAAATGTGGGACATATTTATACACAATGGAGTATTACTTTCCCATAAAGAAAATACCTCTAGGAAAATGGATATACCTTGAGACTGTAATGTTAAGTAAAAGATATCAGACACACATACTTAAATATCACATGCTGTCTTATATGAGAAACTCAAATTATAAAGAACAAAATAAAAGACAAAATGAAGAGATACATTTTTCTCAAATGTGAAGAGGATCAAGAGATGGAGAGAAGAGGAGGTAGAGGAAGGAAAAGGGATGAAAAAAATTCAGATGTGTTATGTACATGTACCAATTTCACACAAGGAATGTAAATGTTATGCACTGCAAACACAAAATAATAAAGTCAAAATAGCAGAAAATAAGCAACTGTCTGGCCCTGATATGAATTGTTTTAAGACTCACTGTCTAGAATATGTTCAAAATGCTGATGGAAATAATTGCTTACCTTTGATGAAATATATTCGTATTCTCCCCACAATATCATTCCTGCTGCCCCTAATGCAGCACTTTCACCAATGGTGTGCACAAAGTCCTCCTAGAAAAGAGAAGCATCAGGAGCAGTTTCTGCTAAACAAAATTTAATCACTGATAATTCAGTAAGACTCAACCGCTTCAACAGTGGTAAAGAACACAATAATTCTATCTGTTTCTAAAGCAAAAGACTAGGAGACTTGGAAAAGGCTCCTCTGCTTTGCCTTTGTAGTTTATATGATAAATATTTATGATTTTTCAGACAACATTCTAGACACTGGGGATATAAAAATGAAAAATATTTCAATACCCATTGCAGTGGTAGTTCTTTAAAGTGTTTTCTGAGATGGGCATAAAAGCAAGTAAGGATGGCATAATAAACAATTATCTGTATTAGTGGCACCCACAAATCCTATAAAGATTTGAAGAAATGTTTAATTCTACATGAAAGAGTTTGGGAAGTGTTCCTTGAACATGTGAAATTTCAAATGGATCTTTGAGAATGAGTTTCATTTCCAGAAGGAGACCAAAAGCAGAGGCTCATAGGCCAGCAAGAACATGGGCCATGAAGAGAACAGTAACTTACTGTGGTAAAGCACGTGGGATTGGGGGAAAGAAGTGAAAGTATATATCTTGGTTTATAAGCAGAATCCAAATATAATTCATCAGTTAAAAGATATAAATTTGCAACTTTCAAAGGCCACTGGTGGCTATATAATCCAATACATTGTAAAGAGGTCAGAGGCACCAGCTGGGAGATGATAGAAATTGTTCAATAGGGAATGATAAGGCCTCAAGAAAGCCAATGTCAGTTTTACAAAGAGGAGAAAGAATAGAGAGATTTGGAAACTGAGCTGGATAATTACTTACTACCTAAGAAATAACAGAGGAGAAAGGAAACATCTAGGTGATTTTTATGTTGAATAACAAAGTAGATTAGACACTAAAGAGGTTATAATCTTCATTCTTCCTCCGCTAAGCAGTATTAGAAATTCAGTGCAAAGGCAAAGGGGTCAAACCCTAGAATGAGTAAATGGCACTGCCATCACAAAGTTTTCCTACCCTAGAGAAAAGTTCCAGTACCAGTGGTTGAGTAGTAGCCCTATCTGAAATCCATGGGATCAGAAGTGTTCGGAATTTCATATTTTTTTCAGACTAAAAAATCTGCATATATATATACAGTGAGATGCCATGAGAATGTGACATCTATTGGTCACTTTACCAATCTTGGGACAAAATACCTGACACCCACAATTTAAAAGAAGAGAGGTTTATTTTGGCTCACAGTTTAAGCTCATGGTCAATTGGGTCCAAGACAAGAGGATGGCAGAGGGGCATGGCAGAGGAAAACACGCTCAACCCATGGCACACAGGAAGTGAGGAGGGAAAAGAGAGGAGCCATGGACAAGAATATTTCCTTCCAGGTCCCACCCACTATGACACACCTGCAACCAGCCCCACCTCCTAAGATAACATTCAGGTTCTGAACTCTCATCAGTGGGTGGAATACACTGATGAGTATTGCTCCAATAATTCAATCATTTTCTGAACACATCAAACTTTTGAAAATATTTGTAGATTTGAAAACCATGAAAAGATATAAAAAATCATGAAAATATTTTAATGTAATACTCAAGCAATTCTGTGTGTGTGTGTGTGTGTGTGTGTGTGTGTGTGGTACCAGGGATCAAACTCAGGTCCTTGTGCTTGCAAGGCAGGCAGCGAAACCACTGAGCCAAATCCTTAGCCCTATACTTTTTTGATGAGTAAGGATGTTGTCTATTGCTTTATGAAGTATGTTCAAAGACAATAATGCATAATCTACTTCAAAAATCTAGTAGTACAAAGAATGGTAAAGATACTAAGGCATTCATAAAAATGTGGCCATTTTCTATCAGGATAAATTATCTGACTAGATGAATCATTATTATTTTCTACTGTAAGCATTAACATTTCTAATATATTGTAGGAAATCAATAAATAATTTTGAATGAATAAATATACCCTATTCTTTTTCCTTTGAAAAATGACATGATTTGAGAAATCAATCATTCTCTTGAAGAATACCTTAGCAAGAAATCTGTGGAAGCCATGATTAATATCTTAGATTATCCACAGAACTGATTTTTAAAAGAAGGGTTTAATTTGTTCTATGATGCACCAGAAGGTAGAATTAGAACTAGTGGTATGAAATTATTCAGAGGCAAAGTAAACTCAACATGTTTTAAAACGTCTTAGAAAATAGTACTGCCCAAAAATGTAATTTTTCTTCTGATAGCAAAAATTCCTCCTGAAAAAGTGCTAACAGAGGACAGATCAAAAAAGGATTTATATGTGAGTTTGTGATAGATTGGATATTGCTAAGACTTCTTTTATATATGCTGTGATATTATCATTCTTTTTCTCCTAAACTTATTGAATAAATACTTCATTATTTAGCAATCCTATAATGATTAAAAACAATCTACTCTATTCAGTAATATTCAGGCAAATGGATTTTATTCTGAAATCATTTAGGGAGATTACTATTGCTTTGAAATGCCCTTATCTGAAACATAAGTAGTCTAAGAAAGTGAATTGTTCTGTCATCTATCCAACACTCCTATTTCTGTCATGAGTACTGTAATAATACAATTGTTGGCTCTAGTATGAATGCAAATTGAAAGGTTTTCTCATGTAGCCACTAATGTAACAAATGCATCCTTTTCATAATGTAACAATCTAGCTAAAGACTGAGCACTTCCAGGATCTGCGAACTGATCATTCTCTTGAAAACAAGTTCATCTCCACATATCTCGTTGCCTCCTATTTGTGTCCAGTCTGAAGACAGTATCTATGCATTTAAACCACTTTTAATCACTGGACACTACTAGATCATACTGTAGGTTCTTCAAGAAATAATCAGTAAGTTCTATGCTATTTTTTTAGGTAATAGTAAATTAAAACAGAAAAATGCAATAAAAGGAAAAGCATAATTGGTTAATAATTTATCATAAGTTCCATTTTGCATGTTTCTAAATTGGAAAATTGCTTCTATACTTTCATATCAAGAAATCTCTCCCTGGTTAAAATTAATTGATCTATTCCATTATTTAACCTCAGTTTCACAATTCTTCTGCAGGAAATCCATGAGTTCTGAGTTGGTAAAAATCATCATTCAAAAAGTCTAAGTATGCATCTGATTGCCAGTAAGATTATTTCAGAATTGAGCTGATATTTGAAGAAATACATACCTTTAATAATATAATAGTATTCTATTAATATAGTGATATTAAGCAATTACTATATTATATTAATTATATTAATAGCCATCTTTTACTAAAGAGAATTAGATTTTGTAAAACATTTCTTTCTAGACTTTTATATCTTTCAAAAAATATTTTTAAAATATGAGTGACTTACCTCTGACAGAGTTTCAATACTATTCAAATAAAATGGCCTGGAAAAAATAAAAACCGGTAAAACATAGTCAGGTCTAGCCATTTCAGCAATTCTCATGGCTTCTCTAACTCGATAATGAACAAATTTCAGTGCATTTAAACTTGACTTCAATATTTTATCCAAATATATTGAAGGATAAAGTGCCGTGCTTTTTTTCCACAGCCATAAGAGTTGATCATTGAGGAAAACTTCTTCATTTGGGCAATTACCTGTGTAAAACACTGGATTTATTCTATAATCATAATTATAGCAATCTGGATAGAGATAAAAGCCCCATAAGTATTTTGGTCTCATTTCTAAAGCCAGTGTGAGTGTGACATTCATGAAATTCCTTCCAGCATTTTCAAATTCTTCTTGGGCAACTGTTTTCACTTTTGTTTCCAACCAGTCAGGATGGTGGTATCTTGTGAAGGCTAAGGAGTGGTTTTTATATATCATTCTGTTGCCCCAGTTTCTGACCCACTGGGGTTTCCAATTCTCCCAGTCAATAATAACAAGTCCTTCCGATTGCCACCAAGGGAGAGTTCTTGTAATATCAGCAGTAGTTTTCGTAAGGTGAGTAGAAAGGTTCACACTCTGCGGTATTCCACCATTGAATGACTTTCCATCTTGAGAAATGTAAGGGTAATATCCCAATTCATCTGGATAAAAGATGGCGATCGTTGATCCACTCTGAGTCTCTAAAGGATTTGTCATAATGTTAAATACTTCAAGATTCATACCTACTTTGAAGGATTTCTTACAGTGCATTGTCGGGGCAGCCCAGAAAATGTGGAAAGGCTGGTTCTTGATTACTGGAGGAGCTGCTGGCTTGAGGACTGGCTGAGCGACTGTGAGAAAGAGCAGCAGCACTGAGAACCATGCTACCCACGGGCCACACATGATATTCAGCATCACAGCGGTCTCCTAAAAGTAGGCAGAAAGATATTATACATGATGGAGTCAAATGGCTGATTAGGTTTATGCTACAAAATGAATAAGCCACGTATTCCAAAGGATTTATGATGTCTTATTAATACAGTTGCACCTGAATGTAGGAAAAGATGAATTTTTTAATGTAAAAAAAGTATCAAGGGACTAACAACTATCCAAGTTATTTTTAAAAAATCCTTAGGTATGCAAACTCTACCCATTTGTTCTGAATTTAATTTTCTAGAACTCAGTGTATAAGCCAAGCCATCATGTACCCAGAAAGACTTAGGCTACAAGAACTAGAGAAGAAACTGAATAGACTGCTGTCTTCCCTCAAGAAAGTGACTCCAAGAACATGCCCAGTTGTGAATTAACATATCTTGACATTTAGCAGACATTGAATACAACAAAAGAAATAACAAACTGTACTAACAATAAGAAATAATTTATACACAATTTGAAATGTATTTGCCTCAAATGCTTGTTCACTTGCTTTTAAAACAGAGCAGTTACCCTTGCAACTAGTGTGGGCTTAAACAGAAAGCAGAGTTGTAAATTACCTGTTGCTGATTGTGAATTTGGGTGCTACCATCTTCTGTCAGTCACATAAACACACTTAAAACCTATTATTCTTGATCTCCATTGTTTTTCTATGAAGAAATTGGGCTGTATTTTCAGCAATTAAATAGCAAATGAAACTTGGCTGTTTAGTCCCCTCCAAGTAGTCAGTTGGAACAAAAACTGCCAAAGAATCTTCCCAGCATATAACGATTATCTAATATTTCAGGTGTTCCAGCCAAAGATTTCACTCTGAAGGCAATATGGTTAAAGTTACATATCAAAGTTATTTTATCATGTATTATATATTTTTTTTAAAAAGTAGTTCCAGATTTTTCTGCTACAGTTAAATTTACTATCTTTTTAAGAGTCATATATTATTTCTTATGTAGTTCTGTGTTCATTTAATATGTTAAATAAAGGAAAAGCTATCAACTAAGATCACATACAAACTCTCACAGTAGAACCCCCTAAGTCTGCAAAGAAATTCAACTCTTTGTGTATTGACTTATTAAAGCAACAAGTGAGTGATAATTTATTTTTAATAAGTTGGATTTTATTAATACAATTGACTTTACATGGAACATGTACTATGGGAACTAGACAAATCTCTAAAACATCAGAGTTGCCTCTACTCCTTTATTCTTCTCCAGTAAAAGAACAAATCTTGTTCTTCATCCTTGTCCAATGGGATATAAAAGTGCTCACTCACCATAAATATAACTCTTCATTTCCTTTTGGTCATGATTGCATGTATTGGGCATACATGTCTAATAAACTGTGACACCCTTAAAAATGTTTGCTAAGGCTTATATCACATTAAACATTTTATAGATAAAGATGCTATATTACAAAACATGTGCTTCAGCAAAATCCAGTTTTAAGTTGAAGATTTTAGTTATGTTTTCTGAACGTATAAATGACATTCAATCTATCTTTGTCACTAGCCTAATGAAATTTTATTATGTTAGTATTATCTTGGCTCTCAGTATTAATTTTATAACAAACTTCTATGACCATAAAAATTATGCAATAAGAATATCATGAGTTTTAAAATATAATAAATTCTTTCAACAAGATGATTACTGATATCACATTCATATTTCTAGACATTTTTTAATTCAAAGTAGAAAACTTGATCTAAATTTTCTCATTTATGATGTGTGCACACATCACACATACACAATTGAGGTTTTGATTTCCTGGTGTGTTTCAGACAGTGAATTAAAGTCAAGGGCTGCCAAGGTAAAACCAATACTATTCCCCACATTGCAAAGAGTTATATATATATATATATTTTTGTTGTTGTTGTTGTTATTGGGGATTGAACTCAGGACCTTGTTTTCGCAAGTCAGGCAATGGCACCACTGAGCTAAATCCCTGGCCCTGAAAAGTTATATACTTTTAAATGTAAAATACAAATTTATAAAATGTCTATAAGTTAACATAGGAGAAAAGTATGGATCACTGTGGACATGGAGATGACTTTTTAGATTGAATACCAAAAGCATGATTCATGAAGGAAATTTTTTGCTCTTCAAGCCACACATGAGAAGAATATACTTGCAAAAGTCATAGCTGGTAAAGAAATGCTATCTAAAATTTACGAATGTAAAACCTAACAATAAGAAAACAATCAGATTTTAAAATGAGTAAAACCTTGGTAAATAAGCATAAGAAAAGATAATTAACAACACATGTCATTAGGGAATTGCAAAGTACAACAGCAATGAAATGTCATTACATGACTATTAGAATGATGCACATTCAGAACAATGCCAGTTCCAAATACTGATGAGGATGTGGAGCAACAGGAAAGCTAATTCATTGTTGATGGGGATACAAAAAGGATACAGCCATTCTACAAGACAATCTGGTACTTTCCTCCAAAATTAAATAAACTCTTGACAGGATATGATAATCATCCTCATTAGCATTTACCTAAGTGACTTCAAAATTTCTATCTCCACAAAAACCTGCAATGAATGTTCAGAGTATTTTTATTAATAACTGTCAAAACATGGAAACAACTACAATATCCTTCAGTAGGAAAATGTATAAATTGTGGTATATATGGACAATGGGATATTATTCAGTGCTGAAATGAAATGAGCTATTACGCCATACAAAGACAGAGAACGCTCCATTTTACTGGATGACCTAAGAAAACATAGTGAAAGAAACCAATCTACATAATGTGAAATAAGAAGAAAAGGTCCAAAGAGGAAGGGGAAATGGGAGGGGTAGGAGAAAGAAAAGAAGGGAAAATAATAAATATGAGAAAAGGAAAAACTAAAAACAAAGTCTTTGTAAATAGGGAGGGGTGGAGGGTTGAAGAGAGGGTAGAGAAATGGGGAAAAAAATAAGAACTAAGGTATATTATGTAAAGGTACAAATTCCCAGGGATGTATGTCATCATATTGTATACCTAAAATATACTAATTAGTGAATTAAAAAAAAAAAACAAAAAACCAATCTACAAAGTTTATATATTGCCTAATTCCAACTAGATGACATTTTGAGAAAGGTAAAAATATGGAAATAGTAAAATCAGTGGTTTCTAGATGTCGCAGGGAGGATTGAATAAGGCAAACATGGGGGAGTTGGGATGCCATGAAACAACTGTGTACAATACTGGCAGATACAGCTTGTTACACACTTTGCAAAACTTATATAAACCACAGCAGCAAGCGTGTGCCCTACAGAAAGCTGCAGACATCGGATGATAGTGATATGTTAATGCAGTCTCATCAGTTGTGACAAATCATGAAGGAAGCCCTGCATATAAAAAGGAATGGAGCCAGGCGTGGTGCCTCATGCCTGTAATCCCAGAACTTGGGAGGCTGAGGCAGGAGGATTGCTGTGAGTTCGAGACCAGCCTGGACTACACAGTGAGTTCCAGGTTAGTCTCAACTACATAGTGAGACCCTGTCTCAAAAAACAAACAAATAAATAAAAAGGAATGGATTATAAGGGATCTCTGTACTTTCTGCTCAATTTTTCAGTGAACGTTAAAAATACTCTAAAAAGTAATACCTGTTTAAATGAGGAAAAATTATAAAACTGCCTTCACTGAAGCTGTATTTGTATCACATAAAAGCTGGAAGCAGCATGTATGTGGTCACCAAGGAGTCTGTTAAATACATTGTGAGCGCTACTATGGTAATTACATAACAAAATGACAAGCTATCTTCTGATTTCCTCTTTTCAGCTCTGACTTCCTGCCTTACAACTATACTCCATATTTCACAAATTTAATAACTATAATTATTCAATTCTTTCTATGCTGCCTTTCTTTAAAGGCATAAAAATAAGAAAGAAAAAAAATAAAATTTGCATTTTTAGGCAATATGGTTACTTACATAGAACACTCAAAAGAATCTATAAATTATTTAAACAATAGGAGAGTTTAACAGGTAGAGATGGTCATCAGATTAACATATAAAAGTCAAAATATTTTAGTCACCAATATAAATAAAGAGGTGACTCAAAATTTGTACAACACCTCTATAGAGGCAAGTTATTAATCTTTATTGAGATATGTTTAAAGAGAACCAAATAAATGGTCTTCTGACTTCTTAATTTTTGCCATTCTAATATAGCATTGCTTCTAAACATCTGAAGAAGGAAGGCTTAGAGATTAAAAAGGGATTTGTCTGAGATTCTCCTTAGAATATGCTGCCCCTGAATTCTAGAAGTGAGACTATATAGCATTTATAATCTGTGAAATTATTGTGCTTAAGAAAAATAAATATAGAATACTCAGTAAGAATTCAATTACTTAAAAAGAGAAATAATGTCTTATTTAGAGTCAAAATTTACAGAGATCCTAATACTGGGGCTTCAATTCAATTCAATAAACATTGACAGGGTTTACCACATTTGCAACATTGTATTTAATGCTAAAGATGGACAAAAACATTTATCTCCAAGAAGATCAAACTAATATATGTGTGTGGTGTGCATCAATAGGCACATGTGATGCATATATGTACATGGAATAAGGAGAGAGAGGCAGGGGAAATATACATCCTGTTTAAGATTCCTGGAGTAATGGAGTTAGAGCTAATTTTTTCTTTTAAAAAATTAGCTGGTATATTATAAAGCTAATTAATGAGTATTGCACCAAAACACAAAAAGTACAAAGTTAATATTAGTGATAGTCTTTTTACTCAAAAATAGCATTTTTCTGTGTGCCTTTATAAGCATTTCTGTATGTGCACCTCGAAGATTTTATGGCTCACAGGAGAGACTCTGAGATTAGAGGGAAGTGTCAAGCTAACTGAACACCCAGGCTCTTTGCGAATTTCCTATAAATCAGCCCCTTTACCATCAGAGAAGGTTTAGAACCCTGAAGCAGAAATCTGAACACATCTTTTGATCTGCATGGAGCCCAAAATGGTGAGAGAAATTGAATTTGGCCTAGGGTGGGCTAC